CAGAAATAAAAAAGTTATCATCAGCGTTCTAACATGCTTTGTGCTGTTGCTTCAGAATGAGAAATTAATCCTAGGAAGAAGAAACATATTTAGAATACAATATATTCAAATTATAGAGTCATATTTTTCCCAAATATTTTTATTACTATATTATGCTTTATGTACAGAGATATCCATCATATATTTATGAGGGGAAAAGTGAAAATAACCTAAGTAGGTAACTATCAGATAATGGTAAGTAAGTTATAGTACATTGGTACATAGAATGTTAAGCTGGTTTTTAAATTAATGTTTGTAGGACTCCTGTTCCTGGGCATGGAGTAATAGGAATGAGATTTACCCTTTGCCAAAACAAGAAGAAAACTAGACATAATAGATAAAACAATAGTTTTTAGAAATGGTGCTAAAAGTTGTATACAACTAGGAGAGAAGGGAAATAGGAGCTCTACAATCGCCTCAGCTTATTGCCTGGAAGCAATTTTCAGGCTACAGTGAAGGAGAGGGCGGATCCAGTTGAGCTAGAAAATGCAGGACCAAATACTAGAGAAGATGTTCCTGCAGAGGGAGAGAGAGCTCCAAAGATCTGCAGAGGTATCCCTTTGACTGAATACTAATCTGTGTGTGTGTGAAAGGAAACTAACAGGCTGGGAAAAGAATTACAAGAAAGCAGTAGGCCAAACCATTCTTGGAGCTGATAGGACTGAGAATATTTCATTTCCTACTAGTAAGAGTGGAAAGAAAATGTAATATATGGAGCATATGGTAGAGGCCTCAAAAGGATTTCATCTCAGTGGTGCGGCTAAATTAAGCTCTAGATTGAAGGCTGCTCTGCCACTACCTTAACACGGCTTTAAAGTGAACCTTGAAAGGATCAAGTTGATTCCACACAATTGAATTCATGCCAAAACAAAGTCTAACATATTTTAAAGGCACACAACAAAACCAGCAAACAGTGTAAAATTTACAATGTCTGGTTTACAGTAAGTTTCTCAAGCATTTGAGGACAGCAGCAAAATAACACCCTTAACTAAGAAAAATACCTGTCAATGAAAGCAGAAATGATTGAGATGAAAACAGCTATTATAAATATATTCTATATATTCACGAATGTAGAGGAAAACATGAACATAATAGAGAAATAGAAGATACAAAAAGCCCAAATGGAACTTCTAGAGAAGAAAATAATCCTATCTAATAGACAAACATGGTAATTAACCATAACTTTGCTACCCTTCCCATTGGCTAATCAGTGAGATATGCAAATTAACTGCCAACCAAGATGGCGGCCGGCAGCCACGCAGCTGAAGCAAACATGAGGCTTGGTTGCCCCGGCGATGGAGGAAGCCAGGGTTCCCGCCTGCCTCAGCCCAGCTCTGAGCTCTCTGAGCTCGCACTCTAAGACACAATGTTGCAAATATAGAAGCTAAACAAACCCCAGGTACCTGCTTTCAGCCAGCTGGCCGAGCTGGAGTTGCAACAGTTTCAATTATAGAACCCAAACAAATCCAGATTCCTGCTTTCAGCCAGCAAAGGCCTCAGAGCTGGAGCCAAGCTCTCAGAGCTAAAGCTGGCCCAGAATAAAAAAAAGAAAAAAAGAAAAAAAGGAGCAGTTGGGAGCTTCAGTCACCTGCCAGCCTGAAAACAGCCCTCAGCCCCTCACCCAGACTGACCCGGGACCCCAGTGGGGACCACT